ATGAGGACACAGAACCTGGCTTCAATGTTCTACAATAAATAGCAAGACCAGGAATAACTCAAGTTATGACATGAGACTCGAGAAAGGCAATATATTCTACTAGGGTGTAAATTCGTTGAATGTTATCTCAATTTTATCTTATGTCCCTTGAACTATTCCTGAGAATAGTTAAAAGGGTAAAAGCCTCTTCTGAATCTCACTTTGTTCGCCTTTTGATGGGAACCAAACATTAAATAATTATAATGACCAAGAAACTTGGCTCTGGAAAAATGCTGAAAAAATGTATCTCCTTTGCGGAGGTGGGGGAACACTGAGTCTTGAATATTGCACATATTTTTTATACTGAATCGATGTAGTTTTGCTATACTGCTGTATTCTCTTTTTAAAAAATTCCTTATTAATAAGGGGATGGATTGACAGCTGGGAGGAGAGGGAGGTGTTCCAAAAATCTCAGTGCAGTTTTAAGTTTCACAACTAGATCCTGATTAATGAATCCTGAATAATGACTCCTGTGAAGTGGTTGCATTTGAAGTTATAGTATATGCAAAATATTGTTATTAGTTCTAGCCAGATAGAAGCAATGAAAACATTTAAAATAAGGTTTTTTTTTTTTTACGGTTTTTTAACATAACAACAAAAGACAAGAAAAATGTACTTCTGATTCAAGTTTATTACAAAGTAATAATGTAGCTATAGAAAGTAAAATTAAGAAAATAAAATTAAATTATTGAATATCTTACCTAAAGATAAGCCTACACCGATATGCTGAAAACATTGTTATTCTTGTTTAAAATATTTTAGCAGTGTAGACTGAATTGTCTTCTCCTTCTTTAAATCTTCATACATACGCTGGTAGGTGCAAAGAGCTTTATCCACATCTTGATGAATTTGTATTCTTCTATCAACATTAGGGTCAGCATCCATAATTTTTTGCTTCACAACTTCTAAAGCTTGAAAGATATCTTCAAATTCTTTGAGATTGAACTCTTTCATTTGTACATTATCTGCTTCTTCAGTATCATTGTCAACACCTTCAAACACTCGTTGTTGATCTAAATGAAGAAAATCATCATCAGTCAATTCTTCCGAGTGCGATTCCAATAATTCTAGGACATTGTCACTTTCTAGTTCATCAAAACCAAGCTTTCTTCCTGTGTTTGTTATTTCTTCTATAACAGCTTGCTTTTGCGAGAGAAAACCTTCAGAATTACTATTTGCACAATGTGGCAAAATACACTTCCATATTTCACGCATGCTGTTTGTAGTTATTTGTTGCCAAGCATGATGAATATTTTCAATTGCATCTCTGATGTTATAATTTTCCCAGAAGTCAGTTAATGACATTACTTCCTCACCTGTAGTTTTTGCAACTGCCTGTTCAAAAATTTTTCTTAGGTAGTAGGCCTTAAATGTCGCAATGGTTCCTTGGTTCATGGGTTGCAATAAAGATGCTGTGTTTGGTGGCAAAAAAATTACTTTTATATTCTCACACAATGAACCAAGTGTAGTTGGATGACCTGGGGCATTATCTAAAATCAATAATACTTTAAAGGCAATGTTGCTGTCCTTGCAATATTTTTCGACAGCTGGGCTAAAATAACTTGAAAACCAGTCTTCAAAAATAGCTTTAGTTACCCATGCTTTCTTATTTGACCTCCAAAGAACTGGAAGTGATTGTTGGTTGTAGCCTCTCAGAGCATGAGGATTTCGGGACCAGTAAACAAGCATTGGTTTTAATTTAAAATCCCCTTCTGCATTACCTCCTAGTAAAAGTGTTAGGCGATCCCTAGACACTTTAAATCCAGGTTGAGTGTTTTCTTTCTTAGAAATGTAAGTTCTGGAAGGCAACCTTTTCCAGAATAAACCTGTTTCATCCACATTGAAAATTTGTTGATCAGTGTATCCACCTTCTTCAATTATCTTCTTTAAAATATCAGGAAATTTAGCTGCCATATTCTCATCTGTAGTAGCTACCTTTTCGGTAATTTTAACATTATGTAATTGGCTTTGATTTTTAAAGGGATCAAAGCAACCACTGTTTGCAGTAAAAGTTTCTTCACTATCTATTTCATTTCCATTTTCTTTCTCTACTTTAAATAAACTCGGAGCATTTGTTTGCATGGCTGTTTTGCTATGAGAAATGTGTTTATCATTGCAATCTTCAATCCAGACAGCTAAAGGACGCTCCATTTCTATCATTGTAACGCTTCTATTCCTTGTAGTTGTCTGTAAACCACAAAAAGCTGGTGCAACATTGTCTTTTCCTTGTATTTCACTTGTGTGTTTTATAATATTCTGTACCGCAGATTCAGGCATTCCTACATCTTGTCCTGTTTTAGAATTACTATGACTACATTCTCGCTGTTCAAAAATTGTCAGGTGATCATTAGACACTTTAAATCCAGGTTGAGTTTTTTCTTTCTTAAAAATATAAGTTCTGAAAGGAATCTTTTTCCAGAATAAGCCTGTTCCACCCACATTAAAAATTGGTTGATCAGTGTATCCACCTTCTCCAATTATTTTCTTCAAAACATCGGGATAGTTGGCTGCCATGTTCTCGTCTGCACTGGCTATCTCTCCGGTAATTTTAACATGATGCAAATGAACTCGATTTTTAAAGCGATCAAACCAACCACCACTGGCAGAAAAAGTTTCCTCACTATCTACTTCATTCCCATTTTCTTTCACTGCTTTAAATAAACTTGAGGCTTTTGTCTGAATGGCAGCTCTGCTAAGAGGAATGCATTTTTTATTACAATCATCAATCCACACAGCTAAAAGACGTTCCATTTCTATCATTGTAACACTTCTATTCCTTGTAGTTGTTTGTAAACCACAAAAAGTGGATGCAACTTTGCCTTTTTTTTTAATTTCACCCGCATGTTTTATAATATTTCGTACTGTAGATTCTGGCATTCCTACATCTCGCCCTATTTTGGAGTTACTATGACCACGTTCATGCCGTTCAATTACATCACATTTTTGTTCTAATGTAATAACAAGCCTCTTTTTTTTCACACTGGCAGCATTTCCATCTGAAGTCTTCTTCCTTTTGTCCATTTTGTTATGGGCTTTTTAAAAAAATTAATGCAACTATTGGTAATATGGTACACAGCAACAAATTACATCAGCACACTATGACAGGCAAGAGCAGAATGACATATCTGCAAGTTAAAACCTTTGACTAGCACACGCTGCATCAACTGATTTTTGGCTTACATTCAACTCAATTGCTCTCATTTTATAAGTGCAGGAAACTGAATTTTGAATTATTTGAACTTGCATTAATCATGACCTAGCTGTAATAACTTAAGAAGAATACTTGCTACAAACTTACAAAAAAGTGACATTGGAGGTTATTTAAATTTTAAAAATATTGATGTTTCTTATTAAAATTCTACATGCACCTTCTTATGCTTCATATACAAATGCTGCTCCCTCAGTTTCAGGCACAGTTTCTTTGCTTGCTTGGAGTCTCCCAAATCTACGTTTATATTGAAATGAGCCAGTTTCCTTTAATTTTTTCATCTAGTTCTTATTTAAATTTCTGTGGGAAGCCTCCTTATAAAAGAAAGTGAATTTTCTTCTTACTGCTGTTGTAGACTTGATTTCAGCCAACCAGAGAATGCAGTTGACTTTCTTCAATATTTGCTATCTTCAATCGAAGAGACTGAAACAAAATATTTAAATTAGAAATGTATCATTCAAAATTAAATAATCACAAAAGAAATATAAATAATTAAACTCTCAAATAGTATTTTTCCCCTAAGTTAGTAGTAGTGGATAGAAGCACTGGGCGTGGAGTCAAGAGGACCTGAGTTCAAACCCAGACCTCACATACTTACAGTTCTATGACTCATGACAAATCACTTAACCTGTTTGCCTCAGATTCCTCATCTGTAAAATGGGGAATAACCCATAATGGGGATTAATAGCACCTACCTCCTAGGGTTGTTGTAAGGATCAAATAAGGTAATAATTGTAAATGGCTTAGCACAGTGTCTCCCACATAGTAAACACTATATAAATGTTAGCTATTATTATTATTATACTGTCTCAGATATTTACAAACTCTGTGGCCCTAGGCAAAACAATTAAGCTTGCCTCAGATTCTTCATTTGTAAAATAGGGTTAATAATAGCACCTACCTCCCAGGGTGATTGTGAAAATCAACTTGCAAAATGCCTGGCACACAACAGTCGCCACATAAATGTTTGCTATCATTATTATTCTCAAGTTAAAGCTTAAAACCTGCACCAAGATTTTTAGGACAACCTGGAGGGTCTGTCTTCATTCTTCCTACTTCTCTTTCTAGTCTAGCAGTGCCTGACACATAGTAGGTGCTTTAAAAAAAACCCATCAAACATGCTCATGTATCTATCACTGCACTTAGGTGTGGGTGGTGGAATGAATTTTTTTTTTAAAGACAGGAGCACAAAGTTTTTGAATAAAGGACATAACGTCTACGAAGACACCATTTAACCTGCTTCTACACGTTGCGTGTCCCCAAACTCTGGGTCTGCGTCCCGGGTCAGCTGCCAAACCGCCCTGGCTGGGTGGGGTGGGTGTGGGGCGGTAGGGCCAGGGCGCCCCGCCCCTCCCCCCGGCCGGCGCCCAGCGGGGCGGTTCCACGCTCGGCGACACTTTCCCCCGGGGGACCTTCCAGCCCAGGCCCAGCCTAGACAAGCTGACACAGATCACAGGTGTGTGCGCCCCGGGCCGGCGAGCCTCTCCCCGCAAAGATACCTGGGACTAGTGCGTGCAAGCCCCAACCGATCTTCGGCGCTGTCCGCTGGTGAACCTGTCCTTGGAGGGCGGCGGACGCCGGAGGGCGGAGGCTGCCTTAGAGACCCAGGGAAACGACGCCAACAGAAGAGCAGCGGCGGCTCTCGAGCCCTTGGACAGGCCGCGCGCGTGCGCGCTCCGCGCAGGGCCCCTCCCCCTCCCCTTTCTTCCCCCCCCTCCTGCGCAGGCGCGGGACTCCAGCCAATGCTGTGCGTCGTTGGGGTCGGGGACCGTCGGCCCGCAAGCTGCGAGAGAACCTCGCCGGGCTGGGTACCGGGAGCTGGTGGTTATCATCTTCATCATTAGTATTGTGTTTTAATCTCTAAAGCAGGCCGAGGAGACTGACGCCATGCAGCATTCCGAAGAGCCTTCGACCCTGCCCGCTTCGACCTGTGGGTGCATGAAACCGGCATTAGAAACAGGTAACTTAAGGGATTGTTTCCTTATTGGAGGAAAGTCACGTGCCGGGCAGTCACGTGAAGAGCGGTCACGTGATTAGCGTCTTCTCCCCTGCAGGAGTTCCCTCCGATAGTAGATTGTTTCCTGGGCGCTTGCTTTACCTTAGTGACTTTATTTCGGAGAACATCTCTCTCCCCGCCTTCCCCCGCACCTGTTTCCTTACAGTTAGTGGCAGCCATCTGTTGTGGTGAATGAATAGTGAATTAGAATAGATTCAGTGAATTAGAATGTTAATCATTTTTTACCCCCATGGTCACCCCGGCTTGAAGAGTATAGGAAAGACTCTGGGGTGTGGGTAAGGGTGGGTACAGTGTCTGAGGGAAAATCATCCCCAAATCATCTCTTCTTCCTTCTTTTTGTCACTCCTCCCCCAGGTGATTGGAATCGACTCATCTGCACCAGCCTGCTCAGCTAAGCTCTAGATGGTGTCCTATAGCTAGCTTTTATATACCACTAACATGTTAACTCATTTGATCCTCAAACTCATTATATAGCGCCGATATATTATGTCATTTTAACTTCACAACAACCCTGTGAAGTGCTATTATTATTCACATTTTACAGATGGGAAACCCAGGCACGGCAAGGTTAAGTAACTTGCCCAGGCTCTCACAGCTAGTATGTAGGTGAGGCAGGTTTGAGCTTGGGTCTTCCTCACTCCATGTCCCTCCCCGCCTCCAACCCCCATCCACCAGGATTTAGCTCTGGAAGCACATTAGAAATAATAGCAAACAATAATAATAAAGCAAATGGAATAAATCAGAACTATGTGGAAAGTCAAAGGGGTGTGTGTGTGTGTAGATTTGAGGTGATCAACAACTTTGTCAATCAACAGCATATACTGAATGCTTACTAGGTGGTTTCTGTGAAAGCCTTTGAGTCTGGAAGACCAGAGTTCAGATACTGTGGCCGGCACTTTATAGTTGGGCAAGTCACTTAATCTCTCTCATTGCTTAACCTCAGTCTCCTCATCTGTTAAATGGATTGTTTTGTGGATCAAATGAATTAACATGTAAAGTGCTTTGCAAATCTTAAAGTGCTATCTATCTATATAGCGTATTTATGTTATATGTATGATATATACATATATAATGTATATTATTGTTATTACTATGTTGGAGGCACTGTGCTAAGAACTGGGGATAACAAGAAAAGTAAAAACAGTCATCTAGCTGAGAGTGGAAAATGAGGGTTTGGACTCCTGGTAATCTCTTAGGCTCCTTCAAGTTCTTCAAGTCAGTGAGCTGCTTCTGTGAAACTGTTAGTGCTGGTCAGGACCTTAGAAGTCTCCTCCAGTCCATCATTCATTTTATATATTAGGAAGTAGGCCCAGAGAGATTAATTATTTACCCAAGGTCATGCAAAGTCTTGGCAGTACTGGGACTTGCACCTTGTCTGTAAGTCCAGCACAGCTCTCTCCTTCATACCATGGAAATTGGGTGAGATGGTCATCAAGGCACATAGCGCAGGACACTTATTAGTTGTGTGACTCCAGAGAATTCACTTAACTGCTGTTTACCTCAGTCCCACATCGGCAAAATGGGGATAATAATAGCATCTACCTTTCAGTGTTGTTGTAAGGATAAAATAAGATCATTTTTGTAAAGTGCTTTGCAAACCTTAAAGTGTTATATGAATTTTTGTTGTTCATTCATGTCCAACTCTTTGTGATCCCGTTGGGGGTTTCTTGGCAAATATACTGGAGTGGTTTCTAATTTCCTTGTCCAGCTTCATTTTTACAGATGAGGAAACTGAGGCAAATAGGATTAAGTGACTTGTAATAAGTATCTGAGGCTGGATTTGAATTCAGGTCTACTTGACTCCAAGCGTAGCACTCTATCCACTGATCCACCTAGTTGTTATATAAATGCTAACTATTATTATTATGGCCTCTACGCTCATGTGTACATTGTTAACCTAGAACTTTGGGTACAGGAACTGAAACAGAAATAAATAAATGTGAATGGAACTTTCTTTTATAATAGAATTTTGATTTGGGAGATTTTTGTCTTCTGCATTTATAAAGATGGGATTTATTTGTCCCAAGAAGTTGTCTGTGTAAAACATAAACAGATTCCAAAAGGCCTGAGAAAAATTAATAGATTAATGTCAGCCTATATAGGGAAAATTAGGTATGGCCACAAGAGCAGGGAGTAAAACTTAATGGACCTGAGTTCTTGTCTTAGCTTTGTGACATTGGGCAAGTCACTTAATCATTCAGTCAGTCATTAAACACTTAATAAGCACCTGATCCGTGCCAAGCATTTTGCTAAGCACTGGGGAAAGGAAAAGACACTGGGAAGGCAAAGACAGCTCGTGCTCTCAAGTTGCTCACAGCCTTATGGGAGAGAACAGCACATAAAAAGAAGTTGAAAAATGGAGGTGGAGGTGGGGAAGAGTATCCTGGGTTGGGGATGGGGGCTGGGGAGAAGATGATGCAGACCTGAAGTTAGATGGAAAATGATGAGGTAGCTATGTTGGGCTACCTCTTTAACCTTAACCTTTCTAGGCCTGTTTCTTCAAATGAAAGGGTTGGACTAGATCAGTGGTTCTCAACATTTTTTGTTCAGTAAGCCCTTTTCAGCAAGAAAAAAATGTATTGTGAATCTCCATTGTACTTTAATATACTACTTATAATTTTCTTTTAGATTTTTCAGGTGGCTCAGTAGATGAGCAATGAGCCTGGAGTCAGGAAGACTTGAGTTCAAATTCAGCATCAGACACTTACTAGCTGTGTGACCCTGAGCAAGTCACTTAACCCTATTTGCCTCCATTTCCTCATCTGTAAAATGAGTTGGACAAGGAAATGGCAAACCCCTTCTGTGTGTTTGCCAAGAAAACCCCAAATGAGGTCATGAAGAGTCATACACGACTGAAACAACTGAACAACAAACTTACAGTAACCGAAATGCTAACTTTTGCCCCCAAAAACTGCAAATTAAAATTTATATTATGTAATTATAAAACGTTATTCAAGTATGTACATGCTTGTTTTTACAGAGGAAAATATACTTGCATCATACTTATTATTTACTGCTTTAAGCATCATTAAAGAATTTTTAGTGCAAACCCCTTCGTCATCTCCTGGCAACTACTAGCCTAAGTGATCTAAGACTCCTTTCCACTCTTTGGTTCTCTGAAACGGTATGTCATGTGATTTTTGAGTTTGACGTCCCACAAAATGCCCCTTGGTATCTGTGTCAGAGACAGTCTTTTAGACTATTTGGATATAGTTATTCAGGGGATACTTTTTTTTAGGGGGTCATGTGGCAAAGACACAAATGAAGAAAGCTATCAATGATTCTTGTTACATTTAACTCTTCATTGCTGAGATTATGTGAAAAACTTTGCCTTTAAGTGACCAGTTTTTTAACACTTGTTATTAGATGAAGGTTGTGTTAGTAAGTCTGGCAACAAACATTTATTATTCATTAATGGGAAGGACTTTGGATTGGTAGTTAGAGCATTCCCCACTTCTTTAGCAACTAGGTAGGTATGTGAGCTTGGACAAAAACATAACTTTTCCAAGTCTCATTTTTTCCGTCTATAAAATGAAGAGGTTGGCAGTATGATTTCTTTTAGATTCTTTCTAGTTCTAGATTTATATTATTCTTAGAATCATTTAGAATATTAAAGCAGTAAAGTTGGCTATAACCAAAAAACTCAAGAAAGCAGTATGGATTGTTTTTATGATCCTTTAGTTGCATTATAATCATTGAGGATAATACTAGCTAGCATTTAGGTAATATTTTAAGGTTTTGTAAAGCAGTTTACATGTTATCTGATTTTATGTACTCACCACCACTCTGTGAGATAGGTGCTGGTGTTATCCTCATTTTACTGATGAAGAAACTGATGATGAAGAAAGTTAAGGGACTTGCCCAGGTTCACAGGCTAGTATGTGTCTGAGGCAGGATTTGAATTCAAGTTTTCATGACTCAATTCTAACCTCCTAACTACTATACTCCCAGCTGTCTCACCAAATTGGAAAATTGTTTTTGCTCTTTTGTTTCTATAGGTAATATTTTGACTGAGCCAATTGGTTACATAGAGTCATGCTTCTCAGCTAAGAATGGTACACCGAGGCAGCCAACCATTTGCAGCTTGTCACGTGCTTGTCTGAGGATAAGAAAAAGTGTCTTTAACAATCCTGAACATTCCGTAATGGGCTTAGAACAGTTTTCACATGTTTGGTAAGTTGTTTAATTACTGGTAGTAGGTTTTTATGCCCAGAATTTGCTAGGGAATAAATAACTGGTTACTTTGGAAAGTACATTGACTTTTTTTGGGGGGGGGTATTATTAATTTTTATTGAAATTCTCAATTTGCTTATCTATATTAATGCCTTTCATATGTAAGTAAGGTCCTTCTCATCAGTACAAGTGGATTAAATACTGGTTCCAAACTGACTTTTCTACAAGTTGATAGGATGTATATAACCTGAAAAGTGGGCAGGTATCCTTTTTTTAGATAACTTTTTATTTGTACATTCTGTGATACTATGGAAAAAAATCCTAACACAAGTTGTTTTTCTGATATATTATTCAATGAACCCACAAACTGATTGTCGTCACTTCTTACAGCACACAATTAGGAAAGAAGCAGATTCAAATAATTTATTCTAGACGTTTTCTTCTTTCATACTCTAAAATATCTTCTTCATGTTGGTGGAGGAGGAAGGCCTACAGGCCTGCCGTAGTGCCCAAGGTTAGTATAACTTTCAACCAGTTGGGTTTGTCATTTTGGTTGCCCCAAATGTAAAATGCTGAACCAACCAAAGTGTGGTGTAGGAGCTGGGACAGCTGTGGCTGTACATTGACTTTTTACAGATTGTATCCTCCTTTAAGATCACATCTCTTCCAAGAGAAACTACATTAATATTTATCTCTATCATTTGGACTGAGACATCTCTATCTACTCCTCCTTCCCCTCCTCTCCCTAATATCCAGAATCTATTAATTAAATGGGTGAGTATTGGTGAAGACTATAGCTTAAATAAAAATTCTTTTCCTTCTAAAAGTTTAAATTTACTTTCTTTTAAAAAGATGTTTTTAGCTGCTTTTTTTATACCATTGTCACTTTTCAGTGATTCCCTCTCACCCCAAAAGTAAGTAATAAAGTCTTTGTTAAATTTTACACTCAGTGACATCATTGTTTGGGGGGTAATTTGTGTGCTTGTTTTATGTTTTCAAAAAGTTACTTTCTTTTTTTCCAAACTAAGTGATTCTGGGCTTTTCTGGCAGGATTTTGTTTGTTTTTCATAAAAATGGTCATTTGAGTTGTAAGGCGAAAGTGCAGCCTCCTCGGTTGAATGGTACAAAGATTGGAATCTTCTCCACAAGGAGTCCCCATCGCCCTAATGCTATTGGACTTACTCTTGCCAAGCTGGACAAAGTGGAAGGTGACGTTTATTCTTTTTTACATTCCTAATCCCAGCAGAAAGAAGCATATCAAGACAATATCCAGTTAACTCCTCAATAAGCACAATTTTGAGACGAACAAATAACTAAAAGGGCAATCTTTATTTTATTTATATAATTAAAACATTCTTGAATTTACAGATAATTACATCAGTCTTCTTTTATGTTTAGCTCTAAAGACAAAACTATGTTGTGTTTATCCTTCTTAGTGGTGTGGGGTAATGAAACAAGCTCTGGACTTGGAGGCAGTAAAGACTTAGATTCGACTGTGACACTTACTAGCTGTGTGATTATGGGCAAGTCATTTAATCTCTCAGCCTTAGTTTTCAGACCCTTAAAATGGGACTCATGATACTCTCATTTTTTTGTCTCATTAAGTTGTTGCAAGGAAAACATTTTTTAAACTTTAAAGTACTATAGAAATGTAAGATATTATCACCTAATTTATTTTTAATGTTATCATATTGGAAAAAAATGGCTAATCTTTTCCTAAATTTTACTGCTTGAGTTCTCATTTTCCCTCTTCAGGACACATGCCATTTTCTGTAGGAGTTGATCATGTATGAAGCAATAACATTTTATGTCTTCATTATTATAAGGTTTTCTGTAGCTGAGAATATAACAAATGCTGAGAGATATACACTATTGGGAGCTGTTTTTATTTATTTAATAATATTTATTCCCTGTTTGCTTCCCAAAAAGTTAGAGAAACTTTGAAGGTTAAAACACATATAAAACACAATTAAAGGTAAAAACAGAAACAAGTTTCAAAGGAGAAGAGAAGTGTATATACTGAACACCTGAAATTCAGTGGGAAAGACAGTGTTGACTTTAGAGTCAGAGGGCCTTGGCTCAAACCCCACTTCTGTCATTACATATGTGACCTCGGCAAGTCAATGAATCTCTCTGGGCCTCACCTACCTTATCTGTAAGAGGGGAGGGCAGGACTAGATGGTTTCCAAGGTCACTTCTGTTCCTAAATCTGTCATTTTTATGAGATTCTACAGTTGAATCTGCCACTGAGCTTCCTGGCAGTTTAGGCAAAAAAGCAAAGGCATTTTATATTGTTTATAGTTTATGTTTTATATAGTTCTCATTGTCTGATTAAAAAAAGTCAGAAAAGTTTCCATTGAAGCAGATTTCTTTTAACCTTGAGTCCATGAACTTGTTTTATTTTTAAATAAATATTCTTGGAACGGTATTTCAATATAATTGGTTTCCTTCGTAATCTATGTATTTTATAGCATTATTTTGAGAAGGGGGTCCCTTGGCTTTACCAGACAACCAACCAAAGGGCTTCCTGACATTTTCTGTGAGGAGTTTATCATGTAGATACTTAGATAAGAGGCCTTCGGTAACAAAATGGAACCTGTCTTCAACTCTGTTTTTGTGAATGATACAGAATGTTCTTTGAGTGCGTGTTGTATTCTGGACTTGTATAAAGTCAAATCTTAACTCAGTGAAGGTATCTTTTGGGGAAGCTAAGAGAGTAAATTTTAGGAATGCAGCTTTCTGGTGTAGATCTAGGAATGAATAGCTAATGTATATTATTTCCTCTTTCTCAAATATCAGATTACTCTGTGAACTTTTGATGTCAGGAACCAGTTATAAAAACAAAGAGACTAAAATATAGCTAGACTGTTTAGTTTTCTGGGTCAAGCATGTAGCACTTGTAGGTTGCTTGTTGTCATTCTTTCTGGCTCTAATGATGATTTTCCCACGGAGTCAAAATAGTGTTTTTAATGCATGAAAAGGAGAGTGGCATAGTGGATAGATAGCTAACCAGCTAACCTTGGACTAAAACCACCCAGGCGCAAGGTCCTCTTCTGCTATACTGGCTGTCTGACCTTGGGCAAATTTCTTACCCTGTGAGTGCTCACAGAAACTCTCAGAGACCCTTAAGTTTTTTTTTTTTTTTAGGTAATTGGGGTTAAGTGACTTGCCCAGGGTCACACAGCTAGTAAGTGTCAAGTATTTGGTCTGAGGCTGGATTTGAACTCAGGTCCTCCTGACTTCAGGGCTGGTGCTCTATCTACTGTGCCACCTAGCTGCCCCAGAGACCCTTAAGTTTCAGAGAAGGTGTTGCCTTGCATTGGTAGAGGGGTTTTTCACCAGGAGCTCCCTACAGCAGTGGAATCACAGGTCAGTCCCTCTCTGTATTCATGAAAACCAAAGATCGTTATCATAATTTTGGTGAATAAGCAAACCAGTCCTTGAAGCCATTGAGAACAAAGAGGGTGGTTTTAGCAGAAATTTGAAAGTAACACCAAATAAAACTTGATGATGGCCATTAGTGGGTCATATCTGCTTTGGGCTCACACCTTTTCCTTAGTCCACTCTGGATAAGTGGTATGTCTAAATATCTTAATAATAGAGCTACTTTATGTTTATCAAGGCTGAATAAAGGAAATACAATAACGATGAGAGACAATAGCATATGGTGAGGAAAGGGACTGAAAACCAGGAGACATAGATTCTAGTTGTGGTTCCACTACTAACTAGATTAGTAACCTTGGGCAGGATGTAAGCCTCTCTGGGCCCCATATTCCATCTTTGTAAAATGAAAAGATAGAGATCTCTGTGTTCCCTCATAGATCCAAAGTATTGTGATTCTAGAATATAGCTAAGAGGCAGCTGAGTGGCTCAGTGGATAGAGCACTGGGTCAGGATTCAGGAAGACCTGAGTTCAAATCCAGCCTCAGGCACTTACTAGCTGTGTGACCCTAGACAAGTAACTTAACCTCTGTTTGCCATAATGCGTTGGTGAAGGAAAAAGTAAATCATTCCAGTACCTGCCAAGAAAACTCCAGAGACAGTATGGTCTATAGGGTCACGAAGAGTCAGACACTACTGAACAACAAAAGGATATAGCTATAATTACTTTGTTATACTTTTTTTTGTTTTGTTTTTGTTTTTGTTTTTGGAGGCAATTGGGGCTAAGTGACTTTGTTATACTTTTTATGCTATTCTTATCCCTGCCTACCAGTTGGGAAGCTGATACAACCATTTTTTGTTGTTGTTCAGTTGTTTTCAGTCATGTCTGATTCTTTGTGACCCCATTTGGAGTTTTCTTGACAAAGGTACTGCAGTAGTTTGCCATTTCCTTCTCCAGCTCACTTTTACGGATGAGGATACTAAGCAAACAGGGTTAAGTGACTTGCCCAGGTTCACATAGCTATAAGTGTCTGAGGCCAGATTTGAGCTCAGGAAGATGAGTCTCTTTCTGACTCCAGGCCCAATGCTCTATCCACTGAACCACCTAGCTACTCTGATATATCTGTAAGAGGCTCTAAATTAGATTCTCAACATCTCTTAGTTAATTGACAGTTAATATCTGTTAGATATCAATAGGACAGAAACAAAAGGAACCACCTATCAAATGACAAATTAATTCAGCTTTTTACGTTTGTGATTCTTTGGGTTCCCTTTTAATTAAGGTCCTCATGGGGACAAGAGAGAATGGAATTTTCCTATCTGCTAAATACTAGTAACAGAAGATTCCCTGCTTGAATGGTTGTGAATGGCAAGAAAGCTGCAAATGTACCCTCTTCCTCAGTAAGTCAGTCATTCAGCTAGCATTTATTGTGTACAGAGAGTATGCTAAGCATTGTTTAGTCATCAGCACTTAATTTTTTGCTGTGGTCACTAGCTTTCTGATTAATATTTTGAACTCTTTTGGGCATTAGTGTCTTTAAAAATGTGATTCTAGGTAGCATTTTGACTGTTAATTGTTTGAATGGACAATTTGTTCTTTAGTTATGGAAATTTTAAGATGATTTCCCATCCCCCCCCTTTTTTAAAAACATCTTAGGAGGAGCCATATACCTCTCTGGAATTGACATGATAAATGGCACACCTGTTCTGGACATAAAACCATATATAGCTGACTATGATTCACCGCAGGATCTGATGGAACCTTTAGATGAGCTCAACTTAAAAGAAAGGGAACAGAAACAGAGAGATTTGCCTCATTCTGTCAACACAGCTGGTCGTTGTGAGCGGCAGCAAGGAGCAGAGGGCGTCAGGCCTCAATACCACAGCACAGAGGGGAAACACCCTGAAGACCAGACAGCAGAAGGAAAATATTTGAAAGATAAAGCCTCAGCAGAAGGGAAATGCCCCTTCAGTAAGTGCAGGAGCACAACAGCAGATTGTGTTTTAGAAACAAGAACAAATCAGAGTTCAAGCAGAGAGGGAGGCCGGATTGACCTTCATTGGCCAAAGGAAGGTATAGACAATAGGTTAAGTGTAGTGGAAGGAGATGCAGCCACACAAGAAAACAGCTCGGGGACTCAGCACCCTTCTAGCATGGGTGTCTCGTCCCCTGCCAGTTGTGTTCCATCCTGGGTAAAAGATTCTCCTGTGACTACTTTAGAAGTCCGGTTTACACCTCATGCGGAAATGGATCTTGAACACTTTAGTTCAGAAGATCACACAGGTATGTTCTTCTTCTTCTTCTTTTTCTGTTTGTTTTTTGGAGGCAATTGGGTAAGTGATTTGTCCAGGGTCACACAGCTAGTAAGTGTGTGCGGCCAGATTTGAACTCAGGTCCTTCTTACACCAGGGCTGGTGTTCTATCCACTGCTCCACCTAGCTGCCCCATGTATCACCTTAGGACAAAATTAGTTCCTTCAGATCTTCTTTTCTCATTTTTGAAAGTTGTGAAGTGTTTTTGTTAGGTATATAACAAAGGGTAGGGGCAGGTAGGTGGCACAGTGGATAGAGCACCAGCCCTGAAGTCAGGAGGACCTGAGTTCAAAGCCGGCCTCAGACCAAACACTTGACACTTACTAGCTGTGTGACCCTGGGCAAGTCACTTAACCCCAATTGCCTAAAATAAAGAAAAATTAAAAATTAAAAAAAAAGAGGGCAATATTTTTAGAGTCCTTTTTATAAGGAATTTGTTTGAGGTATTTATCAATGTGGTTTTCTAGAAAGAAAACAAAAGTATTGGGTAGTATTGTATTCTTTTAGGATATGCATTTGTTTAAATGCTGGCTACTGCTTTCCCTGTTTAGGATTCCATGTATTCCTATTGCTGGAAACCCTAAGGGATTGTCAGGGTAGCTATAAGCAATCATTCAACAAGCTTTTATTAAGTGCTTGATGGATACTTGGCACTGGGGCTACGGAAACAAATGATGGCACTCCCTTTTCCCCCATCCTTGCCCTCTGGGAGCTTACCTTCTAGTTTGGGTGGGGCAGAGAATACAAAATGCATAGCTTGGAGCAAGGCAGTCACAGGAAAGTCACTGGTGGAGCTACTGGGATTATCACTTCTTTTCCTGTAGCAATGATGTCATTTTCACTGTGGTTCACAGGACTGCAGGTGACAAGCTGGAGGCAGGTGAATACATCCCTGCTGGGCTGAGTAAGCCCTTGGTGTCTTTGTGGATGACTAGATGAGATACGAAGCCTGATCTAGTGTTTTAGATGAGTTTTTGCTCAAATACCAAGCTGCACAACTCTGCCCTGAGGAGTCCCAAAGTTGAATGGATTGACTCAGTTAATCACGGATAAAAAATCAGGGATAGAAGCTGTTTCTGGTTTGGGGACAAGGGCAACAGTAGTGTGAGAAGTAAGTGCTGTATGAGGAAATTGAAAGGAAAGTAACTTTGGGTTAGGAGCTTCAAGAACCAGCTAAAATTGGTTGAAACTAGTTGTTTGATTAAAGAGGCTGGAAGTAGGACAAAGGTTAATCTTTATTTAGAGTGCCCATGCTTAATAGGCTGATGAACACTGGCTTCTGCACCTCCGGGTGGGGTTAAGATGCCGTTTTCTAAACATGCGATGTATGAAGAAGGGGGAAACATACCAAGGGGCACATGTGGGCATTCCGGGAAGTCTGTGGCCTGTGCTGACTTCTGCCAATGAAAGTCAGCTAGGAGAGCCTTGCAGCTGGGAGTAGAGATGTAAAGTTTGCTCTCAGTTCTGTAGTCTGTGTGTGTATGTGTGTGTGTGTGTGTGTGTGTGTATGTGTGCGTGTGTGCATGTGTGTGCACGCGCGTGCACGTGCGAGAATGCTCATCTCGAGTTCCATACCCACTTCCTGCAGGAAGCATATTAAAGGTTTCAACTGCTTCACTCATCCTGAGTCTGTCTAACTTATTGTGTCTGTTTGGGCACCAGGTTATTTCCAACAGTAGTGAATGAGATATAACCTGTGAAGACTTCTCAGGGTGGTGATGAAAAGACTGTCTCGAAACTAGAGATAGGCTCTGAGAGAACGAACAGGCCATAAGTTTAAATTACCTAACCCTATAGGAATTCGGCCCTAAACCCTCTCCTGATTGCCACTGCCACGTCAGCATTAGATATACTAAGTAAGGACATGTATGTTTGGATTGGCTATACCCTGTTTCCTTGCTCTTTGGGAATGGGAAAGATTTTCACGCCTAGAATGTAAGCCCGCCTCTCAGCCAGTGGGAGTAAGGGATAGTGGGGGGGGGGGTGGGAGTTTCTTGTTTGGGTTAAGATATATAACCTTGCTTTGTCCTTTGTGCCTCCTCTCTCCTGCTGGTAGTGTACTGGAGGAGTAGACACCCCTTCTCGCGAGATTGTAATAAAGAGTAACTTTTTGCTTCTACCTTGAGAAGTCTCTGGATTTAATTGTGTTAGAGTCGCTGTACCACACAGTAGCCAGGCAGATGGCAAGATGCTTGTACTGATTAGGTCCTAGTGGATGACTGGGTGATAGTTTCCTTCACTATTCTTTGGTAGGCATCTGCTAAACGCAGAGGATAGACCTCTAGACCTGGAGTCAGGAGGACCTGTATTAAAATCCATCCTCAGATCCTTACTAGCTGTGTGACCCTTGGCAAGTCACTTAACCTGTGTTTCCTCAGTTTCCTTATCTGTAACATGGGGATAATAACAAGACCTACCTCTCAGGATTGTTGTAAAGATAAAATGAGATAACATTGTTTAGTTAGGTTTTTTTGGATAATTTATTTTGGCATTCATTTTTTAAAATTTTGTGTTCCAAATTCTCCCCTCCTTCCCTTCCCCCACCCCTCAAGAAGGCGAGCAATATCATATCAGTTATACATGTGAAATCATGCAGAACATATTTCCATATTAGACATGTTGAAAAAAAATAAGGAAAAGCAAGAAACGTAAAAAAGTATGCCTCAATCTTCAGTCAGACTCCATCAAATCTCTCTCTGGAGGTCAATAGCATTTTTCATCATGGGTCCTTTGAAATTATCTTGGATCAGAAATGAGATAATATTTGTAAAGTGTCTTGAAAACCTTAAAGCACTATATAAATGCTAACTATTTATTATTAGTTGTAGGATATTTGGTATTGTAAGGCTAACAACAAATAAGAGTCCCCATCTTAACAATCAGAAAAGAAAATGTCATGGTTTGATTCAGGGAAGAAGGCTGTAATTACTGCATAACAACCAGTACAGATGTAGTCTGTAGAGGCGCCTAGCATAGTGCCTGGCATATGTAATAGATGCCTGTTGAACTGAGTGGAAAATCTCTGTGATTAAGATATCTAAGCCTCAGATGGCGGCCCATTTATTTTGAGAGCTATTTAGCACAATAAAATTGAAGTTCATTACAGTAAAATTTGACCCACATGTGATTTCAAAGTAAAGATGAGTTTTTTAAAAATTTTAATATGTTCTTCTTTTTTCAGGTATCAATATAACTTCATTTAAATATTTTCGATCTGTGAAAGAAGCAAAGTGTGCCATTATTGATGTATTAGCAGCTGATCCCCGGTCTGTGTATCGAAGGAAACATTGTCAGGACCGTCTTTTCTACTTTTCGATGGACACAGCGCACATTACTTGCTGGTTTGGTGATGGGTTTGCCGAAGTGCTAAGGATCAAGCATAATGACACGGTTGAGAATACAGTTGGGCAGTGTTCATTACAGTCAGCTTCATCTTAAGTAATGTGGAACAGGTAAACCTGCCTTAGGGACTTCCTTCTGATCTTCGTATGGAATGACTCCAAGGAGGAAGCCTTTGGGCTTTCCTTCTTTCTTCTCTCTCTTCCCCTTCATCTGGCTCCTTCCTGGACTTGTTCTCATTCAGATCTCAACTCTTTGTTTTTCACTTGACTCAGGAGTAGTCCAGGGTGGAGTCAGGTGACAAAGGATAGTAGTGGTAACCCTCCACAGTTCCTCTCTTGGCTTCTGATCCTGCCATTGGCTCTTCTAGTTTTAGTACTAACCTTAACAGTAGAGAGCCCTTAGGCTAGCTTATCACCCTAACCCAGACACCTGTTCTTTGAAGAAAGCAAAGATGGAATATCTATGGGAAGGAGCTTATTGTACCCTGGCTGACATCCTTTTTATTTACTAATATACCAACAAACTGTTACTATTAGTAAAAAAACAACAACAACAACAAAAACCCTTCAATAACATTAAAACATTTGTATATGGGAGACTGCCCTCTGTTTCTTTAGTTAATAAGCATTTATTAAGTACCAAGTACCATCGTACCATGCCAGGTACCATGCCAGGCATTATGTACAATGCTTTTGCAATATATAAGGTGAGAAACCCTGGTCAGAAGAAATAAGTGGTGAGAGTGGAAAGGCCAGTAAATTTGGGAAAGAAAAGAAAAGCTTAGGGATTGGGGAACTAGCCTGACAGAAGACTGTCCCTGTAGGTGGGTAGCAGTAGGGCCTCTTTAGCCATTCTATTCTAGATATTTAGTTCCTGTTTTTTATCTTGTCAGTCATCTGGAGGAAAAAGGTCCTATATCTCAGGGCGGGATGGGCAAAGTTATTCTAGTCATCCGAAGGAACCTTGTTAATACGGTGGTTAGATACTAATAGTACTATTTGTAGGTACCATACCCTCAATACATTATTTGTTAAATATGCTCTTGTGCATTTTTCGCATAGCCCATCTGTGGTTATTGCAAACGAACGAAGTGGCATCTTACAGTTCCCACTGCTTTAGTTTTTTTGCTCAAAAAGGTTGTATGGAAACATCTACTTTTAATAAACTTTCATTTTATAAAAATGGTGTCAGTATCAGCGTGTGCAGAAGTGTTTTGGGCTGCCACTGAGTCAGGAAGGGATCAGTTAACTTCTTGCCACTCATGCAGTTCATGCCCTTGCCATAGGAGCTTTCAGTCCAAAAAACTTCAAAAACTCTACTCACTAAGAAATGACTAGAAATTCGATCTCCCTAAAGGAAAAAAAAAGTCATTCCAAATCACAAAAGTTAATAAGATGAGATAGAATACTAGAACTGGAAGGAGCTAGTTGGTTCAGTGGATAGAGTACCAGGCCTAGAGTCAGGAAGACTCATCTTCCTGAGTTCCAGTGTGGCTTCAGACACTAGCTGTGTGACCCTGGGCAAGTCACTTAACCCTGTTTGCTTCAGTTTCCTCATCATAAAACATGAGCTAGAGAAGGAAATGGCAAACCACTCCAGTGTCTTTGCCAAGAAAACCCCAAATAGGGTCATGAAGAGTCGGACAGCAACAAGAGTTAGAAGGAACCTTGGAGACCATTGACGATAATCCCCACATGTGTAAAGTTTACACATGATGATATTGAGGCAGAATAACACGTCCAGGTACCTGTTGTTCTTTCCAATTCATCCTGCACACAATTGCCAAAGTGACCTTCTTAAAGAACAGGTCTGACCCTGTCACTCCTCAGCTCTGAGGGTCCCTTCTTGCCCCTAGGCCAGCGGTTCTTAATTTGGGGTCTGAGGTCGCCATAGGGCTACACAGATAGATTTCAGGGGATTTTTGTAGACAAAGATGGCAAAACATTTCTGTCTTTATTTTCACTAACCTTTAGCTGAGATTTAACATTTTCTTCAATTATTTAAAAACACTATTCTGAAAAGGAGTCCACGGGTCTCACCATATTGTCAAAGAGGCCTCTGGCACAAGAAGGGTGAGAAATCTTTTCTCAGAGTTAAAATGCAAATTCCTTGACAGTTAAAGTCCTTCATCCCAGACTTATTACATATGACACGTTATCATTTCATGTTACTCCCTTTTGCACACTGTAGGGTCTATGCACGCTTGTGTGCTTGCTGCTCTCACACAATGTTGTGTCTCCTGTTCCCTTACATTGCATACTCTTGGCCTAGAATGCATTCCTTCCTCATTCTGCCTTTTTTCAACATGTAGCTCAAATGCTTCTTTCTCCATTAGACTTTTCCTAACTCCTCCAGCTGCTGCCGTCAACCCTTGCCCACAAAATTATCTTATGTTTAATTATTTGTGTATATGTTGTTTCCCCTGAGAGGAAGTGAGCCTCTTGAGAGCAAGGACCGTTTCATTTTTATCTTTATGTCCCTGGTGCCACGCACAATGCATAAAAAATGCATGGTAGTTGATTGATAGAGTGACTTGATAGAAATCTACTCTAGGGCTCTCTTTTTTATGTCACTCTGCCTGCCAAAGACATTTCTGTGAGCAAGAATCAAGATACAAACTGCATCTGTCTCAAAAGCAACTGGATAGACTCACAAATGAGTGTAGGTCACTTCTATATTTTTCTAAGAATACTAGGCTGTAGAGCTGTCTTGACACAGTGCTTTTCACGCAGTGCACAATAAATGCTTAGTGGTTTGAGGGCAGGTCCTTTGAATTTTTGATACTTGGGTTATTTTTAAAGGTAGCAGTTTTTAATAAGCACAATCCCCTTTTTAAAAAACCTACTTGATATTATTTTGGTCATCCTGTATCAACATAGGGAATCATCCCAGTAAAATCTGGTGAAATGGTAACCATTGGTTGTGAAACTATATTGCCTGTAGTTGAGAGATTAATATTGTGACTAGATAGCTAAAAAAGATAGCGTAAGCAGGTTAGATAAATGCCCAAGGTCAGTAGTAATAGGTATTAAGTAATCAAAACTCAGAGACTGGATGAATGACCATGTTTCGAAATGAGATCTTATTGCTCATGGTTATTTACACAGACATATTTAGCCAATGCTTTTAATGCTCCGTTGAGTGAAACTGTTCTGTCGCATTGACATGTAATAGTAAAAAAGATAATGATAGTTAGCATTTGTATAGTACATACCAAGTGCCTGGTACTATGCTAAGCACGTTACAGATATCTCATTTTATACTCACAGCAACCCTGAGAGGTAGGTTCTATTATTATCATTTCCATGTTACAGTGGAAGAAACAGGTTAAGTGACTTACCCAAAGTCATACAGCTAGTATGTATCTTAGGTTGGATTTCAACTCAGGTCTTCCTGACTACTCCCAGCTCTCTATACACTGCACCACCCTGGCTGCTGTATGTCTGATATTAGTGGTCCATTAAAGGACCAATAATGTGCCTTTATAGTATACTTAAATGTATTTTCTCTCCTAAAGAGTATTCTACCTTATAAGTTTTCAACTCAGCCCACTTTTATTAAACACCTACTAAGTGAAGAGCTCTATGCTAGGTATTAGGAGCAGTACAGAGTTTAGATAAGACATGGCCCCTGTTGTAGAGCTTACAATTGAGTGGGGTTATGACATGTACACAATTAACTAGAGTACAAAGTAATAGGTAAGTGAATCAGAGAGTGTTTTGTGAACTCTGAGGACTTCAAAGGAAGAAATATAAATTTTTAACCACATAAACAATAGTAATTAATCCTAATTCCCTTATGATATTTTCGGTTCTCTGGTGAGAAAACAAACGTAACACTACTATAATCTGCTTAATAATAAGAATGAATGTCTGACCTAAACAGACTTAGTTTGAGTATACCTAGTTATAAATGGCCTTCATATATAAAAGTAGGCCTTATAGAAGTGGCAACTATTAAGAATGGAGGCATTTTACTACAGTGCAAAGGATCCAGATATAGTTCTCTAAGCTCACTGTCCTGGTGTCACAGGTTTAGAATCTGCCTTCCTGCCATCGCCAACCACATTTGGGGGATCCAGCCTTAGGCGTTGCTGATCTCTGTCGACATCCAGTGAATTTCAGCTTCTGAAAGGGGGAAAGGACAGGTACAGGAGATGAGAAGGCAGGATATTGGGGAATGGGGACTAGTTAGTTTTGTCTGTAAAGCAGAAAAAGAATGAGAAGTAACCTGAGCTAAGGTTGGAAACTAGATTAGAGCCAGATACTAGATTGCATTCAGTGCCAGAATTAAGTTTATTGGGTAGGCAATATCGAGGAATAGCTAGTCAGTCAGCAAGGATTTATTAAGTGCTTACTATATTCTAAGCGCAGTGTTAAGTACTAAGTATGCAAGGAAAGGCAAAAACACCATCCTTGCCCTCAGAATGCTGACATTCTAACGGAGAAGTCAACCCGCAAGTAATGTGCAAGATTTGTATAGTAGAAATGGAAGGCAGTTTAAGAGGGAAGACATTAGGAGTTGGGGAGACAAGACCCATAAAGGCCTCCTGACAGAAGGTGGGATTTGAGCTGAGTCTTACTGGGGAGACTGGGTGGGGAAAGAGAGCATTTCAAGTATGGGACACAGCCAGTATACACTTTCATTATAGCTGCTGGGCAGTCTTCTCAGGGCACACTTACGTAGTTACATCTGAAAGACTAGTATAGTTGCTGCTTTGAGATGAAAACACCACTATATGGTTATTCCTTCCACATTGAGGGGGTTAGTGGTGCAGTGCCATGGAAAATCCACATAAAATTTTTTGGCCCTCTATACCAGAGAAATCTGAATTTTTCTTTTCCTTTTATGGGGTGTTTATAGTTAATTATTGTAAAATTTGTGTTAAGCATTTGGTTATAGGCTCTGTGTCATCTGCTGGCCTTTGCATGTCATCTGTGGCTTCCACAAAACTCCCCCAAAATTCCCATTTAATTTCTTATGCTGCCCCATGATATATTGAAACCAAGTAACAGTGTGGAAGGGATAACTTACTAGTTTTCGTGTATAGTTTGAATGAACTAATGAAAAAGCATTTATTAAGCACTTATACGTGCCAGGCACTGATAAG